GGTTAAGCTTGTTAACACCATTCATCACACTGATCTACTCAAAACCAAATAGAAGGACAGGTATCTTAGAGCATCGACTGTACATTTCAAATTGCCACATTTTATTGCGATTATAAAGGTATGCACAGTTATGCTACATCAAAAAAGAGAACAAGTTAGTTTACAATTTTCTATCAATTTGGCTTAGGAAACAAACAGAAAAAATACACACTGTTAGCCGTGGCCATGGGACATGTAAAGGGCCCGAAACGTTGGTATATTTGAAAAAATAAATTCACGCTATTTAGAACCGAATAAATACTTTGCCGAAGAGGAAAAAGACAAAACATTCGATGAAATAAGCTAGCGGTGAAGCTAAAAAACATGACTTACATTTTATTACTCCTCGTTAAAGGTATAATAATTGGCTTTAATACAGATATTCTTAAGCTTCATTATAGGTATAATGGCACATAATATCAGCGTCGATTTTGTGCAATAAGTTTACTTGAATACCATCACATTATATACTCGTATATAACGCACACACTCGTGTGCCATGGACACACACACAGAACACCACAAATCACACCCAAACTCATGAAAAAATTATATGTAGGCCATACAAATATTTCTCCCGGCCCGGAAATCGAACCTGGGACCTGTGCATGGCAGACCAGCATGCCACGTTGGCAGATCTCTACGAGAAACACGTTAAAACAAAATTTAGGCTCCATCCATGAAAACATAACCTGTACTTATGTACTAATATTTCGTTCAATTTTCTCAACAATGATGTCTATGAGAGTATTGAATAACATTTGTCATTAAATACGTAATTATACGATTGATTTTTACTTATGAAAACTTTCAAAACCTATCAAGCAAAAGTGTAAGCAATCCTTATGAATGGGCTATATCAGATCACAGAATTGAATTTTGTATACTTAATCAGATATTGGAAAGGCGCCTCCTAGTGTCTATAATCCACAGCGGCAAGTGCCTCTGTACTATATTTTTATTATTTAAAACTACTTCCGAACACATAACGTTTTGCATTTTTTTATATTGTCCTTCACACCATAAATTATTTACATTATTAATAACAACAGTTATCATATAATATTAACTTACACCATCACGCTTTTTCTTTGGTTATTTATTATATAATGTTTGATTATAATCTTTGCACAATGGGAAATAAACAATTTTTTCTTCGGATCTATATCACGTATATTTGTTTTTTTTTTTCAAACATACCAACGTTTCTTGCCCTTTACATGCCCCATGATGCTGTAAAGAGGCCAAGGAAGCGACCATCGGACCTATGAAGAGCCCAGAACATTAGGTTAGGTTTGTTTGAAAAACAAATATATATATGCGATTTAGATTTTAAAAAATTATTTCATTGTCTATGTTTAATAAACACGTAAACGATATCTTTGAACAATTTCTACTTAAACAGTTTCTACTCAACGTGAATGAAATTTCCTCGCTTCATTGATCCAACGGAATAAAAGGTCTATAAAACATCTTGTAACGACAGCGGCATCATATTTCACAATACTGTCTTACTCGAGTTGCCATGACGATGTCCTTTATACAAATGCCACACCATTTTTTTTCTTATAACATCATACATAGGTAGTTTGCAATTCCGTATTAGACCCAGCTCTGGTCGTAGAGGCGCAACGTGTTCTCATCATTTGTCCAAAGGTAGTCCTGAACTGTCGAGACATAGAGCAGTAGAGAACGAAGTTTATAGCCCCGTTGAGAAGAGCCAAAGCATCCATCAACTCTCCAAACAAATCATAACATCGCTTGAAGAAGCATCTGCCGAGGACGCCGCTGAGAAGACCTGAAAAATGTAGAATAATTTGTCAAAATCCTGCTTTCAAACATCGTGGAGAAAAATAACTTTATTTTCATTCACAAAAACACAATGTTTTAAAAGAATAATACGTTTTAGATGCTTTTCCTCGCTACGCTTTCTAACAGTTGGTTGGTGTTGTTTCTGCTAATTCAGAAATTGTTGACAATTATTAATGTACAAATGGCGGACCATTAAAATATTTTAAATGGTTTTACAATTGTATACTTCAATAATAAGTGGTGTAAAAACTTTGTAATTAGAGCAATTTATGTACGATAAAACAAAATGTAGTATTTACATATAAATATATGTAGTATTTACATGTAGGTAAATACTTCAAATGTTAAAATTGGGTTGGCCAAAAAAACCGTGCGGTTTTTGCCACTAGCTGATTTTAAATAATATAAGAACATGTTGTTTAAAAATTTTATGTTGTGTATGGTTATTTTAAATATAATAGTTTGACGCGTTTTTTAAGAATAAGCGGGAAATGTTTAAGTAGACAATTAATAAAAAACGCACAGAATTGGTGAATCGGAAAGGTGTCGTATTTGATGCCAAATAACACACAAAACAGTTTACAAAGTCGTCGAAAACTATTGCAACTAGGTTAGCATGTGTTACCTCATCCATCGTATTCACACAAAGAGGTGTCCCTTCAGATTTTCACTAGTTTCGATCTTTACAAAAATTTTTAAGCACGACTTTGAAACGAAGAGACCATCAAATGACAAGCTATATTTATAAGTCAAGACAAGATTTTTTTACGAAAATCTAAAGTTACTTCAAAAAATTATAGATCAACATGGCCAATACAGACACAATTGTATGTGTGATTTTTTTTTTCAATTACACTTTGATACCGTACGAACATTTTCGGCAACCCAATATTTTACAAAGCCTTAGGCCTATTTATCAAAATGAAATGGAGAAGAGCTGTGTTAAAGCCACTAATAGTATACCATTATTTTTCCTAAGCGTTGGGGAGCGTAGACGAGAAAATAAAAATAATGGACCTTACAGGTCATTAATTTCGTTCAGCTTTTTCACTTTTACAAATAGTGGTGGTTGCCAATGGTTATTTGTCAATTGAAAGATCGACGAATCGCCGGAGCAAGTTTGTAACAGGGATGCCGCAAATGTGGATTATGACGACATCTGCAGATGCGGATGGAAAAACAAAAATTGTCAAAAATGATCATTATCATATCATTAATCATTAATTGAACTAAAAGAATGAATTATCATTAATTATTTTACTAATGTTATGACATTTATTAACACTTAAAGTAAATGTCGTGAGCCATCTTTTAGTTTATGCGAATAGAGCTGAGCTATCTTGAATTACAAAATTCACAAGTCGATGTAAACTCAATAATTCTTGTTTAGAAAAGAAATAGGTCATTGCCTGCACTACACGCAGTCGAATATCTCGAACCCTGGTTGGCTAAATAGCACTAGGTAATCAGCACGTGCTTTGAGTTTGAGACGATCTTGACGTAATCAGTTCAACATCCACATTCACAAAAACTCTGCATCATTTAATCCGGATGTCGGATGCTGAAGCAGATATTTCAAAGTATACGGCTAATCCGCAGTTGTGGATGCGGATGAATCCATGATCCCTACTTTGAAATATTTATATTACGTACTTTCGTGAATAACAATTCCTCTAAAAAAGCCGTCTCTGTACAAACATATGTAATGAACATATATGAAATTCCTAAGATCTACTAACTCGGTCTGCAGCTAGGTCGGTTAAGAGCGGTGGTCCCGGCATGGCAACAGACACTGGTCGAGTCAAATTGAAAATACTTTTCTTTGTGTTTGATCTGTGTCAATATTGATAACGATACCTCTCGTTAACGGTGAAAGAAAATATCGTGAAGAGACCTGCGCCGGCTGTGCCCAGCTGCGAGACAGGATGATTATGTTGTACTGTTATACTAACCTAATATACCTTGAGGAAGCTCCGTTAGCAAGAAGAGCAACAGAACAGCAACCAACATTTTCGTCGTTCGATCAGTCCTCCTCTCGGCTTTACTTTTCTTCGTTGACTTTCTCGTGAAAATATTTCCATTTCCATTTGAGACTGGTTCTGTCTTGCATGCACTGTACCCTTTCAAGGCTCTCTTTCTGCTATTAGCTCTGTACAAAGCCCTTATGAGCCACGCGCTTATAACTGTCAAAATAGCGCAAGGAAGAAGTTTGATAAACACGGCATGAACCCAAAAGTTGACCTGGTACAATCGACCATCGTAGTCAGAATCAACGAAGTACACTTTTTTCTTATCGACGGTGAATTCTTTGTGTATTGTGAACACCTGAAAATTATCAAAAACTCGTTTACTAAATAATTATGAAAAGTTAGGTAGATGTCGTTTATTTTTAGGCCTAAGATTGAAAATCGTTTGTCGCCAATTACAACATAAAGTTCTTCAGTACTACCGGTATAAAGTTATCCCCATACTTTAATAATGGGCTAGTAAGAAAATGTTTACAACCAGTAAATGTTTACTACTTGCACCTTATAGTTGAATGTTGTATTTCTAAAGAAAATGGTCGCAATAAACTGATAGCTAAAGAATATTAATATAAACACAAAAAGTACGCTTTGTTCGATTGAATTCGTAGATATATATTTTCACGAACAAGGTCTTACTGGTTACGCTTTGATGTAACTGGAATGATTGGCTTTGCAGAGTATGCAAATATATTTATGGCAAAAAACAGGGGCGCGAAATTTGTATATGCCTCAAAGATCAAAATTCAATAACAACCCGGGAAACAGGAAATGAAAAACCTACTTGTTAATAGGAAAAATATTCTGCTATTGACTTTTCTCGAAACAAAATTGAATTAGATATTCTTGCGTACAAAATAAAATGGTATTTGCCATTAGACAAGTAGCGCAACTGCCGCCTGCTCGCGTCCATGCCTACACGTTACTTGGAGCCTAGAGTTGTCACATAATTATTTTAGTTATACCTATACATATAATTAAAATAAAATTAATTGTCCTATCCAAACGCATTGGATGAGGGTAATCTTTGGAAATGAAGTAATATAATATTTAATTGTGTAACAATTTAATAAATTTAATGAATTGTTTTTTTTTTATATATTTAATTTTTATTTCGTACCCAATAATTAAATTTGTAAAATTTCATTCTATAATAATTTAAACTTGTTTGATGTAATTCTGTTATAATTAAATTTGTAAAATTTCTTTCCATAATAATTTAAGTTTATAAAATTTTATTGTGTAAAATGTAATTGAAACATTGAGTGTAACAAGGGTGAAAATAATGTTTTAATATCTTATATCTTATTAATATTTATAATATGACTCTCATATTCTTTAATATTTATTTCTCCTATGATTTAGCTAAAATATTCAGGTGTTATTATTATTTGAAAACAATTAGAAACATTTGAAAATATTTTTTTTTCCTTGTGTTATCCGGTAAATTAATGGGGCGTTCGTGTTATTATTGGTTTTTAAGGAAATAAATCGTCGGCTTATTGCAAAAAGTCATTAATTTCATATAAATTATATGGCAATACTTCTTGCACTAAAAGGCATCAGTGTCAACCTAAGTAAGTGCCAAGGTATTGTCGTGGGTAGTTCTCATGCTTTGACTAGGTTGGACATGAGCTCTGTCGCGCCTCTTTCTTATAATGATACACCTATTGTTTTCGCACCTCATGTAGTGAATCTGGGACTACACATTGATAGTACATTAAGCTGGAAACCTCAGATTGACTGCATTAGTCAGAAGATCATTGGTACCTAAAGATCGTTCTACCAATTCAAACACTTTCTTCCCATCTCAACAAAAATCCTCTTAGTACAGGCCACTATTTTTTCTATCCTTGATTACGCTGATGTGTGTTATGCTGATATCACCCAGAAACTTCTCAACAAATTGGATCGCTTGCTTAATAGTTGCACTCGCTTTGTTTATGGACTTCGAAAATTTGATCACGTGTCCGTATGTCGCAATGAGCTGAAGTCGTGATTTGAGAATACTTTCCACTCTTTACTGTATCATTAATGATAAATGTGCACCTGGATATTTGAAATGTAAATTTCAATATTTGGGTGCATTCCATAATCGCAATCTTCGCTCAGACAGCAAATTGACTCTTTTAATTCCTTCTCACCGTACTGGTTTTCTTTCTAACTCATTTACTCTTCAGGCAATACGACTCTGGAACGCTCTACCGCCCCATATTCAAAAAGCGCCGAATAAACTAGCTTTCAAGCAATTAGTCCGTGATTTCATATTGGAGTCTGAATCTACATAAATAAATATGTATATTAAATATATATGTGTATGTATTATATATTATGTATTTGTGTGTATATAGGTTGCTTATATAAGTATATAGTTAGTCATATAATATTTTGTGCTATATTTATTGTGTTTAAACTATATATCATACTTATTTATAAACTTCTTCCTATCTGTTTTAATTATCATGTTATGCACCCCTGTTAATTATTTTGAACCCAGCTCTCCGGTTGACTGGTAGAGAATGCCTAATGGCATTAAGTCCGCCATTTGTACTATTTTGCGTGCAATTAAGTTTAAATAAATAAATAAATAAAATAAGTTTTTATAAACTGCAGGTGCAGGTGGAGGAAATTCAAAAAGTCATTTATAATCTATGCCACAAGGGCGGACCGCCACCTTCTAAATAAATGAAAATTGCACCATCTAGAAGGAGATGGAAATAAGTTTTTGTCAAAAGATACTAGATAGTGTTTTACATGTTTTGATGCTATAACCGACAAAGTGCCGACGCCCCTGTTGAACCCCATGCTCCAATTATTACTAACATTAATTTTAAGTGACATTTAACTAACACTATGGATCCAAGTGACTTGAAATAAATGATTTATTATTATTATTATTATTATTGTATTTATTTTAAGCTCTCGCCTGTCCCAAGGCCTAAAAGATTAATTTTAAATTTTTAAATGGGAGAGGCGGTATTTATTATTATTATTATTATAGGTCGTGAACTTAAAAAAATTAAGGCAATCGCAGTATTCTTGTACTATATTGAAATAACCTTTCTTCTTCTTCCTGAGATGGCATCTCTTACCGGAGGTCGGCTATCATTAGGGATATTTGTATTTTAGACTCAGCTGCACGGAACAAGGATCTTGTGCTCAGGTTGAAAAATGTCCGGAGATTCTTAAGCCACGAAGTACGCCTTCTTCCAGGTGGTCGTTACCCTGGATTTTTTCTTGTATAAATAGTCGGAGCAGGTCGTACTTATCATTACGCATTAAATGACCAAAGTACTGTGGCTTGCGTTTTTTGGCAGTACTCAAGAACTCTAATTTCTTATTCACCATCTGCAATACTCTTCTGAAATAATCTTTATCAAATGCAGTACAGGCCAAGGAAGCGGTTACCATACCGCTTGATACAGTGTTATTATTTTGCTTAGTACTAAATGATTCTTTATTTAATGTATCGTGTTTTGGATGTGTCATATTCTAAATAAATATATAGTTTTTGGGATATTTATAATCATAAAAATAAAACATAATGTAAAAAGGAAAGTATTTTACTTCGGCCGAGTGTTGAACAATCAACAAGGACGTAAAGATGAACACGTGTCGGGTATTCAGCACTCGGAACGAAAAAGGGCTCAACTAACATTTTGATCAAAATTGAATACGTATTCGAGATCAAACAATAAACGCCATTCTAACTATTTTTTGTGGAAATATATCTCAATAACTGTCGAATACACAGCAAGTTCAAAGAGCATAACTGACTTCAATAATCAGATTTTTTTACCGTAAAAAGTCGCATTTCAGTTTATTACGTTATAAACACCAATATGAAAGTATTTTACTTAGTAATGTACGGAACGGTGCCCTTATTGTGTAGTTCAATTACAATAAAATAACATAAAAAAGGCAAAACTGAATGTAATTTTGCCCTTTAGTTCTATTCATGAGTCAAGTATTAAAAGTCACATTTAAATCAGTTATGCCCTTTCCATGCAGTTATAATATTTTTTTTACTACGTTAAAAGTGAAAATTACGGTATTTTTAAAAACAGCTGATTAAAATACAATGAAAGTTTCAGAACAAAACATGTGGTATGTATTTATAACATAAATAAACTAAATTTTTACTTAATTGATATTCAATTCTTTTTTGGGAAATTACTCCAATAATTTGTTATAATTAAAATAATACAAAGATCAAACAATTAGAAAAAATCTCTTCGCTCCGGCCGGATTCGAATCGATGTCTCCTAACAAACCGTGCCAGACGCTATGGCAACAAAGCCACGCAATGAACCAGCGGACCTCACGAATTTTTCTTTATGCTTGTTGTCGAATCTTTGTATTTGGTTTTCAACGACCTTTTAGCCGTAGCGCCATCTATAAGAAATCTATGAAAGTATTTCGTCACTCAGCCCTGGTTAGAGATGTCGCTATTATTAGTAATTAAATTTTTAATGAATTGATATTCAATTATTTTTTATGACATTATTCCACTAGTTTCTTATAATTAATAACACAAAGATCGAACACTTAGAAAAAATCCTTCGATCCAGCCGGATTCGAACCGACGTCTCCTAGCAAACCGTACCAGATGTTATGCCAACCAAGCCACGGAACGCACCAGGCTCACAAATTTTTCTATGTGCTTGTTGTTGGATCTTTGTATTTGGTTTTCAACGGCATTTTAGTCGTAGCTGGTAGCTGTAAAGGTATCTTTCTAACTATATGTCGAAATATTTTCATAGATTTCTCATAGATGGCGCTAAATATTTTATCCATTCTTGTTATTATAGAAACCTTAAAAATATTAAAATACAATCTACGAATTTAGAATTTGCTTCTTGTGTCTTTCTTTCTTCCGAAGACAGTATTGGCGGTGGTATCTGTGACTGTGGTTGCGCTAGTGTTATTTTTTTATTAATTTTATGGGGAGGGTAGGATAATAAATTGCATGAAAAATAATTAACACAAGAATAGTTCGTTTTAAAATTAATTTATTTCCATTATTAGAAAAATACTTTACGTGACCTTTATTAATTCAAAACAAGAATTTTTTTTTCTTGCTATCCAACATGCAAAACATTAACAAACAGTAACCAAATTGCAACTAAAAAAAATAATATGCTACTTATTGCTTAATAGCTTTTTATTTGCATTTGGAATTAGAAGTGAAGCGCCAAATATTCGTGAACATAAGTACAACAAGTGGTTTTTGTATTTAAACCATAATGAAATGAAATATACCACGTTGGTACAAGAAATCGATTCCAAGGTGTGTGCCCA